TTTAAATTTTCATTTTTCTTCTATATCAGATTTCTGAGATATTATTTCAGAGTTCCCCCCACAGAACAATCTCCAGGGCTAAAAATGAGTAAATGAGTAAATTCTTTCAATAACAGAAGGTTATGTTTACCAGCCTATTCTAAGTTTTGTGACATAATTGCTTTAGTGGCAAATGATCTTGGTGTCGTTTGGATATCTTAAGGTCTTCCTTAGAATTCTAGCTACTTGGATTACTTCATACTCTCCACACACAGCAAATGATGACTTGAAATTGTCCACATTCTGGATGAAATTCTGTTTCCACTGCATAGTTCAGTTCTCATGAATTTCTAGGACTCTGTCTCTTTTCATTTACCAAGTTCTACTTCCACTGTGAAGATGACCTAAACCCAGCTTTACTGTGCTTTCACATTCAAGACCCTGAGAAACCAATATGGCAGGAGCCCTGGACAATGAAAAAAAGTCTAGTATAGAGAATCATTGGGAAGATCATCACATTGGTACCCCTCTGCAATGGTACCTAAGCAACCCTAGGTACCTGAGGATTCCAGGGGCCATCTGATCTGTACTTCCTTGTTAGTATACATACTGGCAATGCTGGATCTGAGTCAGGAAAGCATATGGGACAATGCTCAGCATTTCTTGGTTTTAGGATGTTCCAGAAACTCCTCACCTATGACAGAATAGCAGATGATGCACCAAACCAGGAATCTGGTTACATGTCTGATTTTCCCAAAGCCCCAGCTTTCTATGGGAATGAGCAAGGTCACTGTTCAATGTTAGTGGTCCAGATCTACTAAAGATGGAGAATGAGGGAATTAGATTTTACAAAAGTGTCATGAGACTTCTAAAAACCTTAACATGGAGACATCATGCCTGACTGACTGGGACAAAGGTTTTTGGGTTTTTTTTTTAGTAGTGATTTCAGGTTGTGAGATGGTGAGTTCTGCACTTAGCATACTTCATAGTGGCCTGAAAAATCTGTATTCAAGATGGAAAAGTGAAACTGGTGTGTCATCATAGGCTAAATATTTCAACATGGGATTATGCCCAATCCTTTGAAAAGGCAGTGAGGGTGGAAAAGGAGACATGACCTCTTGCCTAGGGAGAGACAATCAGCAAAACTTTAAATCAAACATCCGAGTTCTCTAGGAGAGTGTGGAAGACAGAGGGTAGCCATCACAGGGATACCAACATTTACTTAGATGGATGCCAAAACAAATTCCAACTAATGGCTGTAAGAAGCACATATTTATTATTTCATGCCCTATAGATCCAAAGTCTGATCTTTGGGAGCTAAAGCCAGGATGCTGGCAGGGCAATCCTTCTACTGAACGCTCTGGTGTAACTTTGACTTTTCTGGAGGCCGGCCATTTCTCTTTGACTGCCATCTCTTCTAAGTCAATAGTGGTGGATCAAGTCCTTCCATTGTATTACTCAGGTTCATTTTTATTTTCTTTTCCATTTAATGACCCTTTAATACATTTGGCCCTTCAGGATAACCCCGGATACTCTCCCTGTTTTAAGATCAGGTGATTAGCAACTTGAATGTCACCCAAATCTTCAATTTCCCCTTACTTTGTAATAGTGACAGGCTGGGTACTGGAATATGGGCATCTTTGGTGGACAGGCATTATTCTACTTTACACAGGTGACTGAGGAAACTAAAGCGTGTTTACCCAGAAAGAAGAGCATCAGCAGCATAGAAAGCAGTAGGACTGGACTGAGCTAACTGTAGCATGACAGCAGAAACCTCAGGGGATCATGTGACATAAATGGGTGAAAGAACACAAGAGTCAGAAAAGGAGGGTGAAGGAGCAGGGGGCGGACTTCATCAGTGAGTGGTTTACATGCGATCTATAGACACATGAGAGACTAATCTTATCAAGAACACAATTACTAGCCAGGTGGCGGCGGTGGCACACACCTTTAATCCCAGCACCCAGGAGGTAGAGCCAGGCAGATCTCTGTGAGTTCGAGGCCAGCCTGTTCTACAGAGTGAGATCCAGGACAGGCACCAAAACTATACAGAGAAACCCTATCTCGAAAAACAAAAACAAAAACAAAACCCAAACAAACAAAGAAATCAATAAAACCACAAATATTAATAGGGACTTTCAGTGTACTTTGTGTTTTTAAATATCAAATTTTCTACATTCTCCATTATTTATGAGGTTAGAAGGAATATATAAAATTACTGAAATGGCCTCATTCTTGTCCTTATGGCTGATAAATCATGCTTATTGCTCTGCAGTTAATATCTCTAGGATTTAATAGTGTGATTTTAAGTAGGTGTATGAAGTTACTTTTTCAATGAACAAATGGAAGAATAACGCACCTTCCAGTGGTGTTTGGTAGAGCAGACAGATGGCTTTGTGTGAACTTAAGGCAATATTTACAAAATTATACCTCTAAAAGAAACAAAGTAATTTTAATTCACTTGTTTAATTTTCTCTGGTACACTGACCCCCATGAAACCTTATTTTAGGGCTGGAAGGATAGTTCAGTAGTTAAGAGCACATGTTGCTCTTTCAGTGAACTGTTTGGCTCCACCATCTACAGTGGACACTAACAAATGCCTTCTAATCCAGCTTCAGAGGATCTATGCCCTCTTCTCACTTCAATGGACATCTACACTCACATGTACATTCCACACACAGGCACACACATATACACATCTTTAAAAATGAAATAGATCATTAAAAGACTTGTTTTAATAATTAGATTTCAAGTCAATTCACAATTACTAGTTGACATGAGGGTGGGAATTATTTTTTAAATCACTGTTTGAATTTAACTACTTGATCATATACAATCAGTTCAATAAGATCAGTTATAATACACACTGAAGATTATTCAGCTCATATAGATACATATAGTCAATGCCAATGTAGACTTTAAGTGAAATGAAGTATAGGATTATCATAGTATACTTGATGGATAATATTAAATCAGTTTTTTCTTTTATTGAAAATAGATTTCTTTTTACATAATATATCCTGGTTATGGTTCCTCACCTCTATTCCTCCCAGTTTCTCCCTGTGTTTCAGTTCTGAGGGGAAAGGTATCCTGACTGTGGGGAGCCAAGGCATTCCACAAAGTCATCCTGCACAGCAAACCTCACATGAGACTCATTGGGAGGGAAGAACCTAGGAGGGTGGCTGCCTCTGCTCAGGCAAGAAGCATCAGAGCACTGAGCAGAAGATGGGGTTTAGATAGGATTTGAGGGGGTGGAGGGGTGGAACTTTCCAGGGTGAGGATTGGTGGAATTTCAAGTCCAGAGCTTGGGCTGTTTGCTCTGAAGGGATCTGGGTCAGTTGGAGCAGTTAGAGTGCTCTCTGGGTGGAACCTGGCAGTTGGAGATCCTCCGGGGAAGAGCCTGGCTATCCATGCAGCCTCCAGGGGCCTATACCTGCCCCCCACCTGTGTATACCCTCTTTCTGTCTCTCATTAGAAAACGAGCAGGTTTCTAAGGGATAATAATAAAACAAAGCAAAAACAACACACCAGAAAATGACAAAACAACAAACAGAAAGAAAAAGCCCAAGAGAAGGCACAAGAATCAGAGACCCACTTGTTTGCACACTCAGAAATCCCATAAAAACACTAACTAAACTGGAAGCCATAATATATACTCAAAGGAGCTGCAAGGTTAAAGAGAGAGAGAGAGAGAGAGAGAGAGAGAGAGAGAGAGAGAGAGAGAGAGAGAGAGAGAGAGAGAGAGAGAAGAAAATACACACATAAATAAATAAATAAATAAATAAATAAATAAATAAATAAATGAATGAATGAATGAATGAATGAAAAATTTAAAAAGAAAAAAATGGGGAAAGGCCCTGACATTGTAAGATAAGGAACCTCCAGAGAGGTCATTGAGTTCATTTTCTGTTGGCCAATGTGGTCTACCTCTAAGAGTAGTTTGTTTCCCCAGTGAGATTCCTTTGGAAGAAACTAAATTTTCAGTTGTAAGTGGTTATCAATTAGAGATTGCTTCTGGATTAGGGATGGGCGCATGTATCACCTTCTCCTTTCGGCTCTATGGTCCCATTTGGTGCAGACCTGTGCAGGCCTCATTTGGTGCAGAGCTGTGCAGGTTCCATTTGGTGCAGACCTGTGCAGGTTCCATTTGGTACGGACCTGTGCAGGCCCCATTTGGTGCAGACCTGTGCAGGCCCCATTTGGTGCAGACCTGTGCAGGCCCCATTTGGTGCAGACCTGTGCAGGCCCCATTTGGTGCAGACCTGTGCAGGCCCCATTTGGTGCGGACCTGTGCAGGCCCCATTTGGTACGGACCTGTGCAGGCCCCATTTGGTGCAGACCTGTGCAGGCCCCATTTGGTGCAGACCTGTGCAGGCCCCATTTGGTGCAGACCTGTGCAGGCCCCATTTGGTGCAGACCTGTGCAGGCCCCATTTGGTGCAGACCTGTGCAGGCCCCATTTGGTGCAGACCTGTGCAGGCCCCATTTGGTGCAGACCTGTGCAGGCCCCATTTGGTGCAGACCTGTGCAGGCCCCATTTGGTGCAGACCTGTGCAGGCCCCATTTGGTGCAGACCTGTGCAGGCCCCATTTGGTGCAGACCTGTGCAGGCCCCATTTGGTGCAGACCTGTGCAGGCCCCATTTGGTGCAGACCTGTGCAGGCCCCATTTGGTATGGACCTGTGCAGGCCCCATTTGGTGCAGACCTGTGCAGGCCCCATTTGGTGCAGACCTGTGCAGGCCCCATTTGGTATGGACCTGTGCAGGCCCCATTTGGTGCAGACCTGTGCAGGCCCCATTTGGTACGGACCTGTGCAGGCCCCATTTGGTGCAGACCTGTGCAGGCCCCATTTGGTGCAGACCTGTGCAGGCCCCATTTGGTACGGACCTGTGCAGGCCCCATTTGGTGCAGACCTGTGCAGGCCCCATTTGGTATGGACCTGTGCAGGTTCCATTTGGTGCAGACCTGTGCAGGCCCCATTTGGTGCAGACCTGTGCAGGCCCCATTTGGTACGGACCTGTGCAGGCCCCATTTGGTGCAGACCTGTGCAGGCCCCATTTGGTGCAGACCTGTGCAGGCTCTATGTATGCCGCCTCAGTCCCTGGGAGTTTGTGTATATGATGATCTTGTTTCTTTAGAAAGCCTTGTTTTCTTGATGTCCTCCATCACCACTGACTGGCTCTTGTGCTCTTTTTACCTCCCCTTCTGAGGAGTTCCCTGATTCCTGAGGGGAAGGAAGTTGATGGAGACATCCCATTTAGAGCTGAATGTTTCAAGGTCTGCTCTCTGCATAATGTCTGACTGTAGGTCTTTACATCTGTTCTCATCTGCTGCCGGAGGAACCTCTGTTGATGATGACTGAATAAGGCACTGATCTATAATATAGCAGAATATCATTAACAGTCACTTTATTGTTACTTTTTTTTTTTTAAGACTAGTAGTATTTTGCTTTACCCTAGGTCCCTTGGCTAGCTAGTCTCTGGCTGTCGATCACACAAGCAGTATCCAGTATGGGTTCCATCTCATGGAGTAGTCCTTAAGTCAAATCAGACATTGGTTGTTTACTCCCATAAGCTTTGTGCCACCATTGCCATGGCATATTTTGCTGGCAGGACAGATTGTAGAACAAAGGTTTAGTGGCTAGATTGCTATCTACATTTCCTTTTTGGTAGTCTGAAAAGTACCTTCCTGTACCAAAGATACTAGAACATAGGGGTGAAGGTTCAATGTAGGCACCAGATCACCCTCTCCATGTTCAAAAGAGTTGTGTTGGTGTTGTCTTTAGCAACCTATTGTCTTGGCAGAAGCCTGGATTGTTTGGTGATTCCCATGGGACCCCTTTGGCCGACAGCTCAATAGGATGTTATCCAGTCCTGGTAATAGAAGCTTCATTTGGTAAAAAGTGACGGCCAGTTGGGACTCTGTCTCCCCCATTATTTGGCAATTTCATTTAGATTGTCTTTATATTTGTATATGTTTTAGGAGACATCTATTATGTTTCCATACTACCCCTCAAATGCCCTTAATTTTATTTGTTTCTCTCCATACTCCTTTCTTCATCCTCCTCTCTCCTACCCCTCCCCTGTTGCAGGATATTTGAGCAAACTGTGTAAAGATGTCTTGCTGTTTTACCTTGCCTGCCTAAGGCACCTGATTGGTTTAATAAAGAGCTGGATGGCCAATAGCTAGGCAGGGGAGGTTAGGTGGGACTTCCAAGCAAAGATAGGAACTCTGAAGAGAGGCAGATTTCATCAGTGAGCTGTGGAGGGAGGCAGACATACATTATGGAGGAAAGGTAAAGAGCCACATGGCAGACCATAGATTAATAAAAATGGATTAAGTTATAGGAGATAGTTCTGAGTAAGCCTAAGCTAAGGCCAAGCTTTCATATTTAGTAAAAAGTCTCCATGTTGTTATTTGGGAGCTGGTGGTCCCAAAAAGAAAGTCTGACAATATTCTCCACTTGATCCTCCCATTCCAGTCCCCTCTACCCCCATCCATTCATAACTATATATTTCCCTTTCCTGGAGAGATTTATCTTCCTCCCCTAGTCCCTTACTCTGTACCTAACATCTGTGGGTCTGTGGACTGTAGCTTAGTTATCATTGACTTAACAAATATCTACATACAAGTGAATACATACCATACTTGACTTTCTGGGTCTGGAATACCTCACTTACAATGATTTTTTTTCTAGTTCCATCCGTTTTCCTGTGACTTTCATGTTTTCTTTTTTTTAACAGCTGAGCAGCATTCTATTGTGTAAATGTGCCACATCTTCTTTATGAATTCATCTGTTGAGGGGCATGTAGATTGTTTCCAATTTCTGGCTATCATGAATAGAGAAACAATGGGCATGGTTGAGCAAGTGTGTCTGTGGTAAGATGATCCATCCTTTGCATATATGTCCAAGAGTGGTATAGCTGGATCTTGAGGTAAATTGATACCCATCTCCTGATGACTAAGGATGTTGAACATTTCTTTAAGTGTTTCTCAGCCACTTGAGTTTTGTTTTTTCAGAATTCTCTGTTTAGAACTGTACCCCATTTTCAAAATTGTGTTCTTTGTTGTTATTTTGATATCTAGTTCTTTTAGTTTTAAATATATTTTTATATTGGCCCTCTATCAGATGTGGAGTTGATAAATATCTTTTCCCACTCTGTAGACTGCCATTTGTCCGAATGATGGTGTCCTTTGCCATGTAGAAGCTTTTCAGTTTCATGAGGTCCCATTTATTAATTGTAAATCTTAGTGCCTATGCTAACAGTGTTCTGTTCAGAAAGTCTTTTCCTGTGCCAATGAGTTCAAAGCTATTCCCCACTTTCTTTCCGATGGGTTCAGTGCACCTAGTTTTATGTTCAGATCTTCGATCCATTTGAATTTGAGTTTTGTGCAGGGTGAGAAGTATGGATCTATTTGGATTCTTGGAGTGAGAAGAGGCCACAACAGACAGTCAGCTACAGAGCTGGGAATGAGACTGAGGAACTGGGTATGGAGGAGAGGATGTGGAGTGTGGATCTGAAGCTGGCCTGCCTGCTTAGCTGGCCTACTTTCCTCCCTCTCAGGCTTGGCCAGAGGTTCCCAGAAAATTCCTGTTGGAATTGGGGGCTGGGATAAGAGGATGAGTGGGGGGGAAGGTTGGAAGAGAAGGTCTGTGTGATCTTCCAGGGGAGGCAGAGAGGAGGGGGAAACCGCAGCAGGTGGTTCGCTAAGAGTTAGGGGTGGGATTAGATTTGGAGGTAAGGAGGCAGATCTGCAGTTAGGCTGCCTGTTTTCCTAGCTGGAGTAGCCTATGCGGCTCCCAGAGAATGCCTGCTGGAATTGGGGACTGGCATAAAGAGATAAGTGCATGGAAGGAAGGTTGTAGGGAAAGATCTGTGTGATCTACTAAACATGGGAGCAGAGAGGAAAGGGTGTTCACACCAGGTGGTCTGTTATAGAGCTGGGCATGAAACTGGGGGATTGGACTTGGAGAAATGGAGAGAGAGGTGAAGATCTGAAATTAGCCTACTTGTTTCCCTATTCTCTCTCTCTCTCTCTCTCTCTCTCTCTCTCTCTCTCTCTCTCTCTCTCTCTCTCCCTCTCTCTGCCTCTCTCTCATAGATAATAGAAACCTACAGTTCATTTACTCTAGAGACTAAAGCTTCTGTTAATGTTTATTGCTGTGCCAATTCTCCTTTTAAGTTGTTGTTGCTCTTTTTGTTTTGTTTTGCTTTATTTATTTATTTATTTTTATTTTTGTTTGTGAGGCAGGGTCTTTCTAGGTAGCCTTGGCTGGCCTAATACTTTCTATGTAGTCCAAACTGTCCTTGAACTGACAATCCTCCTGAGTTAACTTCTTCAGTGCTGGGATTACACGTGTATGCTACCCCACCTGGATGAGTTTGTTCTTATTATTCAGACTTTCTTCTTGTATATTAACTTGTTTTTTATTTTTATTTGTTGACACTCTGACAGAATACCTGGTAGAAACAACTTACCAGGAAAGGGGATTGGGTTAGGCTGAGTCTCAGAGGACTCCACCCGCCATGGTGGAGACACGGAGGGAGAAATGGCTGAGTCTGGGTATGGTCTTAGTCTGTGTCGGTGGGAGTACCAGGCAAATGATCACTTCTCGGTAGCTGACCTGGAAAGAGAACTAGACTGGATCCAGTGGCGTATAGAGTTGCTTCTGCTCACGAGGCCACACACTCCCAAAGCTCCACAGCCTCTCAAAACTGTACCAGCAGCTAATGAGTTTTCAAATACGTGAGCTACCAGGGCCATGCCGTACCAAACAAGGCTACCTTGAGTCTCCTCACTGTTAATCTTTGTTCAGGTGAACTGGAAGGGTCCTTAGAGAAGGAGTGAGCTGAACTGCTAAACAGAGCTCTGTTATTCTGTTAGATCAATACATGTTCACTTGTTCTGAGGATTAAGAAAATGCACAACCACACACAGACAGAAATGTATAGGTTTCAGTTCAAAGGTCTAGAGGGTATATTTTATAACAATATCTCTTTTGACTCATACAGAACATTTATTTGTTGTCTTCCTGTGCCATGTTGTGAGTCTGAGGAGTAAAATTACTGTTTTAAGTTACTCTACATAAATAAAACATGCTCAGGAACAAGCAAGTTAAATGTTTGATTTCAAATTAACTTTGCTTTCCCGTCTATCTAATTACAATTTTCTCAAGTAGATCCATGAGATTTGATGGTAAGGAAAGCCATGAACGGCAAGTTTGGTGTGAGACTTGGACCCAGGTCCACCTTATTCCAGAAAGCAGTGTGTACTTGCCTGTTCTTGTCTGTCTCACAGAAATGCATGGAGAGCAACTACAAGAATATGATTGTTCCCAACGGTAGTAAAACCTTCAAGTTAATTAATTGAAAAGAGAACACAATGAGATGTTTTTATGGGGGCTAGTGTTGTTTTTCTACCTGTTTTGAAAATTACCTTTTATTTTTTAAGATTATGATATAATTATATCATTTCCCCCTTCCCCTCACTCCCTTCAAATTCTCCCATATATCATCCCCATCTCCTACCCTTCTTTCAAGCTCATGGCCTCTTTTTTTCATTTGGTGGCTTTGGTGTGTGTGTGTGTGTGTGTGTGTGTGTGTGTGTGTGTGTGTGTGTATTCCTAAATACATAAATACAACCTACTAATTATATATAATGTTATTTGCATGTATGCGTTTTCAGGGCTGACCATTTGGCCATTTGGTATTGGATAGCCAAGGGGTGTGCTCTTCTTGGGGAAAACAATCTCTCCTGCTTTTAACATTCCTGGTTGCCAGTAATTCTTTGGTAGGGTTGAGGCCTTATGAGATTCCCACCATCCACATCAGCATGCCTGTTGTTATCCTTGTACAGGTCATGTTCAGGCAGCCATGCTCATGAGACTTCATGGATGTAGCATCTGACATGTCTACGAGACATAATCTCACAGCAGACTTCTTGTTCCTCCAGCTCCTGCAATCTTTCTTCCCTCTTCTGAAATGATTCCTGAGACTTAGGGGCAGGAGTCGGTTGTAGGTGAATCCGCTGGAGCTGGTCTCCACAGGTCTGAAAATTGATCCGCTGTGATGCTGTGATTTTCTGATGTTCTCTGCCCATTGCAAAGAGAAGTCCCTGTGACGAAAGGCAGGGACTACACTTATATCTGAAGATTAGGAGCTAGGAAACTCAGATGAGACAGAATATATGACGTTTGACTTTCTGGGTCTGGGTTACCTCCCTCAGTATGATCTTTTCTAGTCCTACCACTTATCTTGCTAGATGTTAGAGAAGGATCTCTTCAGCCACTTTGTTTGTTTTTTGAGACAGAGTTTCTCTGTGTAGCCCTGGATGTCCTGGAACTTGCTCTGTAGACCAGACTGGCCTTGAACTCAGAGATTTGTCTGCCTCCGGAGTGCAGGGACTAAAGGTATGCACCACCACGGCCTGGCTTATGTTGTTTGTTTGAGACAAGCTTCCACTTCGAAGCCATTGGCTGGTCTGGAACTTGCTATGGGGAGCAGATTGGTCTCAAACTTGTGTTCTTTTTCTACCTTTGAAAATTAGTTTTCTAGTTGAGCAGTGGTGGCATATGCCTTTAATCTCAGCACTCAGGAAGCAGAGGCAGGCATATCTCTGAATTCCTAGCCAACCTGGTCTACAGAGAGAGTTTCAGGACAAGCAGGACAAACAGAGAAATCCTGTTATAATAAAAAACAAAACAGAAATTAAACAATTTTTGACATTTATGAATAAATATATTGCCTTAATTCAACCAAAACTAACATGACTATCTAGTAGTTGGTTTGGGGAATTTCTTTTAATAGATTATAAATTAACATACTAAAACTTCTGTATGAAATAAATGATAGTTCCTAATTCATGGTCTTTAGAGTTTTGGGCTGGGGATGTAGCTCCATGGTTGAGTGTTTTGCCTAGCATGTGTGAGGCCCTGGCTTCAGTTCCATGCATGCAGAAAAAGGGGAGCAGGAGTGCAGCTACAGCAAGTACAAAGCCCCCGTGTTCAACACCCAACACCTCATGCACTAGGTGTGGGAGTCTCGGAATTCAGGAGGAGGAAGTCAGAAGCTAAGCATCAGGAGCTGGAGACCAGCCTCAGCTTCCTGAGACCCCGACTCAGACACACTGGAAAGGTAAAAGTGTTATACTCATTCCTTCCTTCCTGCTTTTTATGTCAGAAAAGCCCATTAACATATTTGTCTGATAGGTTTGGCCAAGGTTAGCCTGTGATAGAATTTAGGAATACACAGAAGAAGGAGTCACTGGTTTTTGCCTTCTGCTCCATTTCAAAGGCTGAAGGAAACCTGACATGGGACCGAGAGAAATATAAAGACGGAGGCAGCTGGAGGTCACACAATGGAAGTGATTGTGATTTACCATGGTGTACAGGTAGGCAATTCATGAGTCAAAGAGAGGTAGACACAGCAACATGTCACTGGCGGGAGGGTAAAGGCCTCAGAGGAAGGCGAAGGTGCAGATGGGAGAAGAGAGAGCATCTGGGTGCTTCAGGGGCAGAATCTCATCCTGGTCATGAGCAGACTCAAGCCTTTTGACATGTCTCCAAGTCATGCTTCTCTAAGTCTTTCACCCTTCAAAGAGGGACACTGATAATAATGCCTTGAGGATTTCATACAAGGAAACGTGATTTGCTCCACGTACTGTACACAGCACAGGGCAAAACACTGAGCAAATCACCAGGGACAACTAACCATCCTGTAAAAGCATGGCTGGTCCAGGACTTTGAGTAGGAAGAGAGAGAGAGGCCAGCAGCTCAGGACAAAGGAAGGGAGGAGGTCCAGGGAAGCCTTGGGTTTTTATCTAGGTGGGATGCACCTGAGTAGTGGGGATGCTCGTACCGGTCTCACACACTTGATGCTGAGAAACCAAGAATGCTGTGTCCACAGCACTCCGAAGTAAATGTCAGGGATGGCAGTGACCTGGGGGATCTCCAGCACACTCTGGAGCCCCATGCAAAAATCAAGTGGCCATCAAGGGAAACTCAAAGAAGGATTCAGGAGCGCAGGGGTGACCTCATGGACCATCCTTCAACCAGAAGCAGGGCAGTCTGGAGAACTGTTAGTATTTGAATAGTCTGTCTACTTTGTCCTCAGTTTGATCTGGAAATCTGACTCGCTTTGTAGGATGGCAAAGAGAACAAACCCCGAGGATATGACAAACTAATGTAGAAAAGATAAATATGAAAAATGGACCAGTGCCATCTATAAGAGAAACCAGCACTCTCAAGTGCATGTAGAGCCAGACTGGGGCCTGCTAAGCTCTGCTTGCTCCGGGACAGAAGCAGCTTGCATAGATGCTAGGCCAGACCTTGCCAGATAAATTTACCAGGAGACCGATAGAGGCAAGGCAGATTACAATTCTGTTTTGTGAAGTATCCTTGTTTGTTATGTGTATCTATAAATAAGGTTTAAAATATGTTGGGGGGGCACTGGAGAAACGGCTCTGCAGTTACAAACACTTGCTACTCTTCTGGTAGACCCTGGTTTGGTTGCTAGCACCCAAGTCTGGCTGCTCACAACCACCTGGAACTATAGCTCCAGGGCCTCTAAAGACCTCTTTTGACCTCTGAGAGCTCTTGCATTCATATGCACATACCTAGACAAACTCACATAAACACACGCATACACATACACACACACACACAACACAATACCTTCTAAAAAATAAATATTTGTTGTGTATTGAGTCACAATAACTACACTTTCTTACACCAGCACATCAGTTTACAGAGCACGCCAGTGTCTTCTTTAATTCTTACAACAGCACAGGAAGATAGCGCTTGTTTTGTCCCTGATTTTGCAAATGAGGACAAAGTCTCAAAGGACTTTAAGTTGCATGCCCAGGGTGGCTCTGCTGCTACTGAAACCAGCTGCCTCCGTATTCATTCATATTCAGCAAACATGTAGTGGGTTCCTCTCCTCTGCCAGGCGCTTGGCTAGAAGTTGAGGATACAAACACTGTGCTCAAATGAACTCAAAGAAAGCTGGGGGAAATACATCCAAAAACAAGGTTGCGTGTGAGGTTGTTACTGAGACTAGGCGCAGAGGGGACTAGGAACCTGAGCAGCTCTGAACAGGTGTCCCTAGAATTCCTTCTAGAAGGAATGAGTAGGTGCCTGTGGGATGGAGGAGATGCAAAGCCGTGGAAGCTCCAGAGCACATGACATGACGCCAAACCGAAAAAATAGGAGAGGATGGCTTGAGTTGCAGGTGGACGGTGCAGAAGCCAAATTAAAAACAGTCTTTGTAGGCTGAGCTCAGGAGCCTAAATTTCCACGCTGTAAGTGGCTGGGATCCACTGGAGGATTTTAATTGTGTGAGTGACAAGATCAGATTTGCTATTCAGAAAGCACACCCTGGCACAGATGAGTGGGTGGAATAGAAAGTGGTTGCCCTGGAGACGGGCAGACCCATTAGGCTCTGACAAAGATCCAGGAGAGAGAAAATGAGGATAGCGGTTGCAGGAACGAGCAGATCCAAAGACATTTTAGAGGTGGAAGGGATGGTCAGGAGACGTTCATTGAGTATAAACACCGGCCGAAAGGAAGAATCAAGAGGAGTGGAGTGCTTTCTAGCTTGGATTTCTTCTACATGGATAGTGAATAATTAATGAAGGTGTGGAGGGTGGGGATGCTGGGGGCTTAAGAGGGAGGTGGTGGTAGGTGGTATGATCAATATACATTTGTTTAAATGTATAGAACTTTCAAAGAGTAAAAAAATATTATTTTGAAAGATCAAGGTATTAAATATCAAAAGAATAGCAAGTTTGTGGGGGGTGGGGGGAGTGCTAATGAATTCTTATGTGACCTGTTGAATTTGATGTGTCTTTAGGACTTCTACGTGAAGAAGTCACACATAGTGAATTATCATCAGAATTCAATGTAAACAGAGTAATCATTAAATCATGCTTAGCCACCTCCAACTCCAGCGTCTGGTTGCCGTAGCTTCTACCCAATCCATTTGCATCACTTCTGCAACATGTCCCAGCTCAAGCCTTGCTCCAAAGTACAAATTAGCATAGCGGCTCAGTAAACAATGCCCCTGAGCTTCTGGGAAGAAAGATGTTCAGTCCCCATAGGCCCAGAACTAATGAAAAGTCACAGAAATAATAGCTCTATTCTCTGGTTGCTTTTGAACCTCAAATCAGTGGTTGGCAACAAGGTGAGGATTTACAGAAACTGCTGAAAGGACTTTCTGGTAAACAGAGCACCAGAAAGACTTTGCTTCTCATGTGTGTTCTAACCATGTATGTGCTTGTGCAAAAACGCTGGCTCACATGCATGACCTGAATTCCCTTTCTAGTTGGAAAGTCCATTTTGATTTTGATCGCAGGATATAATTTCTGGAGTAAAGTCTTCTGTGAGAATTTCTTGTTTTTCTTTCTACTTTTTATCCGATCAAATTATAGGAATTGAATGATACATACTTATATTATACATTGGATATAATTTGCCTATATTTTAATTAGAAGATAATTCTTAGAGGGAAAATTTTGTTTTTTGCTTAGTTGTGAGCAAATACCAACAACGTACACTTCTGACCTCACAAATGAAAACTGATTTTTCTTTCAGGAGAAATGACCACAATGTTAGGTCAGAGAATTATCACTGTCAACACTTGCCCACCACAAACCACTAAAAGTCCATTTTCTGTTCCCAAATTGTGGTAGATACAAAATTATCAATATCATAACTTTTTCCCTTCCATCCCTTCACATGGAAGGAGCAAGGAGGCTCTTTGACCTTGAGGATGCTTGTTGACAACATGAGTACCATTCTTAACTCTAATAATTAAGGCGAAGGATGGGGACTATGAGGGTTGCGTTACATAGTTTCGAGTCTCCAAAAAGTTTTGACAATGATCCTGTTCTAGGAATTTGATGAGCTAATAAATGAAAAACACTTAAAATGACAGAGAAACCTTTAAAGAGGTACCTCTCATATGACAAATGCTCACAAATAGCATTAAGATTAATTAGATAATTGAGGTTACCGACTTCCTTAAGGATTCCTAGCAAATAAATGATAAAATCCTAAGAACACTTTAGTACAAGTTCCTTTTCACTGTACCAAGCTACTCATTTACTCTGGGCAGATATGTTAATGATGCTTGATATGCATGATATTTCTGCTCCCAAGAGTGTTGCTTTGGCTTTGGATAGACTGATCAACTTCAAAGCAATCAACATCAATAATTGTTAACCTGAGACTGGAGCAGGGTTAATGACCTGGCCCAGGGAAGCAGGTAACACTGTGCTGTGTGACTTGACCATCAGTAAGCATCACTTTAATTCAACAAAGCCCACCCTGCTTGTAACTGAACTGGCTTAATGAACTGAATTACAAGAACCCTCTTCCTCTTGACTTGGCTGGCACTAAAATAATGCCAAGTACCACATGACCAACCAAAAGGCTCGAAGGTGATAGCAACCCACTTGGAGAAAATGGAGTCGGATTTTAAGCATCTGGGAGTTTCTAGCATAAGTAGAATACAGGAAGGTTCAGAAATTTCCTACAAAATCACCGCACACTGTATAGATGTCACTCAATATTTAAACTGGATAAGAAATCACAAAACCTCTGCTTTCTGCAAAGCAGAGCCTCAAGCCATCGAAGCTGTCAGGACCTCGAAGGCTACCCAACTTAATTACCTTATTTCACAAATGAGGAAATGCGCCACTATTCATGCAGGCATAAGAAAAGAATATGGAGCTAGAATTGTTACTGGCTATCTTACTTTAGGGGATTATAGACATAGATTATAGACATGGATAGACACTTGAGGGGCACCATCTGTGCATGAAGCACAACTCACTGGCAAAATGCATGCTGAAATTCTCCTATCTAAATCCCAACTCTTCCTGTTTCATTTCATGTGCAGATGTGGGAAAGGGACAGGGAGGTAATGAAAGACAGCAGCCAGCCCCTTCTTGTTGCTCTTGCTCTAACCACATCCTGGTCAGGTGCCATTTATTCACCAGTTCCCCTGACTCATTCTTCACACTGTCATCACTGCCTGTGACCTTCCTAAAACACCGTTTCCCTTCCAAAAACACTCCAACAAGGCAATGTATAGCTGACCTATGTTTTTCTAGTAGTGTTTTCTCTCGTCTCTCCATTCTGGTAATGCATGTGCCTCAGCTGCTCACATCACCAGTTTGGTGATCGGCTTAGCTAGGGGCAGAAACTCGGGGGCTGTGAAGTAACTGATGTACCCTCTGCGAGGTCTGTTTCAAATAGATGTTAGATCAATAACAATCATTTTAGAGACCAAAACGGTGTTGTTAGTGAAGCAGTGAAGGCTGCTCTTTATGTCCTGCTTGTCCTCAGTTTACTTGCCTTTTCCAGCTAACCAAACCCAGTGAGTCCTGAG